TGCTCACTTTATTAATCAGAATCAGAATCAGAATAACTTTATTAGTCCCACAGAGGGGAAATGTGCATTGTTACAGCAGGAAAGAGCCAAAGACAGCTTAGTGTTACCTATGTTAAGAAAAAAGTACTAAGTTATGATAAAAAATATAATATAAAAAAATAAAAATAAAAAATACTTTCCAAAATACAAATCCTGTAACAGTTCTTAGAATTTAGCAGCCAGGTATATATTACACAGTTATTAATGGCTTATGTATATAATGTAATGTGTACATTATATACATAAACCATTAATAACTGTGTAATACATCTTCATTTGAGCTTTTGTGCTGCAGGCTAATGACAATATTATCAACAATGACAATTCGATTTTAAACCATTTGGAGGCAGAGCTTTTGTGTAGATTATTTAACAGAGTGTGTGAATCAAGTGAATAAAACAAGCCTTTACATGTGGAAACAAAAGTACTTATAAGAGCAAACAACCCTCTATTTTCTTGTCACTTTGTAAGGACTGCATCTGAGCGACAGTGACCCTCTTACCTCCTCTGTGTGAGATGTGTCTGCAGTAAAAAGGTGTGCGTTTCTTCTTGTGGAGAATCTGGGGGTTCTTCAGCAGGAACACCGAGGTGAGAGTGTATCCACCCAGAGCTGGGAGGAGGAAATACAGAAAACTGCTCATCCTTCTCCTGCAAGTACGTCCAGCGAGGTCCTGATCGAGTCCTGCACAGTGTAACCGCTGGACAGCAAAGACACTGATCCAAGTGTGTCCTTCAGAAAAAGGGTATGTACAACAATCCCTCTTTGTGATCAGATCCAAAAGCTTGACTGAACAACCTGCTCTCTGAGATAAGAGGAAAACTGGACAGACCGGTGAGACGAAAGGAAGGCTCTTTCTCGCTGATTCAAACTTCAAAGCAGTAAAAGTCTGTTAATAAAACACCAGCTCCTCACCCAGAGCTCACCTCTCGACTATCTGCCTCTGGCCTCTCCCCTGCCTGTGGCTCTACCATACCTCTCTGTAAACTGCTTTTGTTCCCGGGTTAGTGTTGGCTTTGTGTGTTTCACACCTGGGCACCTTTGCCAATCATTTTCTAGGATTTAATTTGCTTTTCTTTGACAGCAAGTACTGTGATTATGACCCCAAAGCAACATTTTAAGATAAAGAAGCAGTGGTTGCTATCTGTTGTGCAATCCAGATTAAAGGTGAGGCATTATGGGAAATACATTTTTTCATAAACTGGTTAATTTTGAGAGCTTTTGGCAAGAATATTTGAAAAGCAGATTTGGACAACGGGTCAGGTTAAAGTGCTTTAGTAAAACATTCAAAGCATTAAGACACAGTGCAAAAGAAGCATATTATTAAATGCCATTAAAGCAGTCATTCAATAACCAAGAGAACATAAGTTAAGACAAGCTAAGATAGGATAAGAAAGGAAAACAAAATAAAGTTACAGTGCAGTGTCTGATATGAATAAGAATTCAATTTCATAAAAGAAAGCGGCAAACAGGAAACACTTCAGCCTTGATTTAAGTGAGGAAGCAGTACACCTTCACAGATAAATGGAACATAATAACTAAATGTTTTTTCCCGAAGTTCAGTTTTATTATGGGTTCAGCACAATACAAAAAAAACATAGTCTATATGTAATTAACTTTGAAAGTACGCACGGTGTACTTTGCAGCTGATATTAGGCAAACACAAAGGACATCAGTGGGGGTGCAGTATTTGTACTTGTTTGACAAAGGGGATGTGGTGTACAAAGATACATTATGTCAACACACCTCTGACCCACAAGCCAGAAATATGAAAACAATAACTGTGCAGAGTCACACGCGCACACTACAGCACAAAGTCAGCAGAGAGAAGTGATGCATTGTTCAGGTTCAACAGAGAAGTAGGAATGTGACGAACAAAGGTGAGACGGGGTGAGTCCGCTCTGAAATGTTACAACAAGCCTGGATTTCACCAGAAAAGTGAAATCTATTCACGACAAAGCAATGGGACCTCCCAGAAGTTTCTCACTTCGGAAGGTATCTCCTTTTCACACAACATGTCAAAATCCTGGTCATTTGAACAGTTCAGGTTTCACGCAGTGGTGGAAGAAGTACTTAGGTTTGTTACATAAGATAAAGTAGCATTACGTAACTGTAAACATACTCGGTTACAAGCAAATGTCCCGCATTCAAAACCTTAAGATCGGCATCACTTTAAGAGTAATAGTATTTGTTATGTGTAATAACTCATTTCCGATGAATAGAGCTGCTTTACATAATGCTACTGGATTTATTTTTAGCCTATAAATATATGTCAACGTTTATTTGGTAAGGAATTCATACTTTGTATTAGGTAATAATCTAAATCTAAAAAGTAACTCAAGCTGTCCAATAATTACAGTGGAGTAAAAAGCACAATATTGGTTTCCAAATTAAGTATAAAGTAGGCTAGCATAAACAGAGAATACTCAATTGAAGCACAAGTACCTACAATGTGTCCACAAGGGAGTAAATGTACTTTGTTACTATCTACTTCACATTTGCATACGTCCCTGTAACATCAGTGTCTGAGGGGAGGCCGTGCTCAGACATGTTATGGAGGCAGCTGTTTGAGCCACACAGCTGGAAAATCAAGTTGAGGGATGACATACAGTTATGTTCATTCTCCCAATTCCCAGGCTTACACTTGGCTTCTGTGAGCTGGTTTCACACAGATATTAGATAGAGATCAGTGGTGTTGTTGTTAGGCAATTCCTCCTTTAGATAAAGGAAGAGAGTCTCGTGAGAGCCCGTTTTCCATGGTAACAATGAGCGACACTTACTGAACAGTGTTTCCGTGGAAACAATCGGTGACACCTCCTAGAAAGCGTTTCCACAGCAACAATCTGTGGCACAGGTGCTGAGTGGAGGAACATCGTCCAGTGTTTTTCAGTTATACAAAGCCAAGCTAAACTGATGAGTTAATGCGAGTCCTGCCACATTAAGAAGCTAGATGTGTGCCTTCAGCTGACATCTTATTTTACTGGATGTTTTCTCTGTTTTTACCGTGTTTGCTGATGTTTTGTTCATGTCAAATGTCCAACAGTTGATTTTGTTTCTGATAATAGGCCCTCTTTATCATTAGTGATGTCAGTTAGGTCAAAAATATGGAATATATTTTTAGCCTCAGTTGTTGTGCTTCCTTACTTGTTTCTATTTGCTTGTTTTTGTAGCAGAATTGTGTTATTTTTGACACATTACGTGGTCCTTTTGATGACATCGTAGAGGCTTTTCACACCTATATCTGAGTGTCTTACGATTAGATCTAGCTATAGTCAAAGCGACCCCTGGAGTTAGATTAAGTTAAAATAATAAGAGACCACAGGACAAGAAAAAAAGAAAGAATTCAAACAGTCGTAACAGTATCAGGACATTTTATTTAATTATATGTATATAATTCAGTTTTTGTTAATCGTTTAATTCATAATACCCATAGAATATACATACTATAACCCTCGATAACTCATATCTCTTCGACAATCTACGTATATCTTCTTTTAAAATAATTCCTTATAAGATCTTGGAGGGGAAATCAAAGGTTTCAGAAAGATTGAAAACACTGCCAATAATAATCACGCCCATAAGAGAATTAAAGAAAAAAGAAAATACAAATAAAAACATCCTAATTATTAAAAAAACAAAAACAACTTTAACTCCCTTTTATGTATAAAAATAAAAGAAAGAAAATACAACAATTCACCAATATAACAACAATAGCAATAATAAGAACAGCCATTTAAAAACAACAATATCAGGAAACAGGCCTTCAGACTCGCCGATGCTGCGTGAATGTATATGGTGCGTTTAAGTGCAACTTTTCACAAACACACAGATGCACTCCTCAGAAAGAGAGAGGAAGTGTGTGTGTGAGTGTGTGTGTCCCGAGGATTGTAAAAACATGGTCCTCTTTGTTTTCCTTCCCAGTGAGATGTTTGGTCTGGTGGCAGGTCGGTTGGAGATTAAAAAAGGAAAAGAAAAAAGAAGCAAAGCAGGGCCTGGTTGACTGGTGACCAAATATACATATGACACGCATAGAAAATCTCAGATGTAAAAAGCGGAGGTAACTGCATGGAGAGGCTCCAAAACACACACACACACACACACACACACACACACACACACACACACACACACACACACAGACACACACACACTCTTTCAAACACAGGCGCGCACACACACACACACACACACACACACACACACACAC